GGCCACTGCCTCGCCGCAAATACACCTGTATTCGGTGTGGATTGGGGCAGCGAGGCGGAGAGCCACATCAATTCGGAGGGCCTGCGGTGTGAGACGGACGCCGGTTGCTGACATTGGGGGTTGCTAATATGAAGTCCCCTGCATGGGGAACTGCTACAGCTCTCCCTACCCTTCCAACACCTCCCTTTCCTTCCTTCCTTCCTTCCTTCCTTCCTTCCTTCCTTCCTTCCTTCCTTCCTTCCTTCCTTCCTTCCTTCCTTCCTTCCTTCCTCCTTCCTTCCTATCATTTTACCTATCAAACAGCCCTCGCTTGAGGTTACAAGGGGTAATGTTTCCTGCATGGATTTATATATATATATATATATATATATATATATATATATATATATATATATATATATATATATATATATATATATATATATATATATATATATAACCTTTCCCGGTCTCCAAGTCCTCCCCACCGTTCCGACCTCCTCCGTCCCCTCGTCCTCCCCATCATCTCCCCCTCCTCCGTCCCCTCATCCTCCCCTGTCCCCTTGTCCTCCCTACCATTCTCCATTACCCTGTCCCCTCGTCTCCACCATCCCCCACTCCCGTCCTCTCATCCTCCCACCATTCCCCACTCCCTCGTCCGATGCATTCCCAAATGATTTGATGTTTCCATCAGAAAATTGGGAACATCAAATGATCTGATGTTCCCATCACTAAAATATAAGAAAAACCAGTTAAAAACCAAATGAAAAACATTGAAATATAAATAACTATACCCACGAAGTGAATGGTATGATAAACAACACAGCTCAATTCCAATGCAATGTCACACAAAATAATTAAATCAAAATGAAAATAAATCGAAATCCATGAAAATTTATTTTATCAATGCAATCGGAAACATTGAAATGGAATTGTTACACATTTAGCGTGTGTTGCTCGTACGTACAACAGATGGCGCTGTTTATTTTTTTTTAAAAAGCATGTTTTTACCTGTCACAGGTGTGGCTTCTATATAGTAGGTATATAAAATCACGTGCGTATTTGAATGGAACGGTGTGTCAAACTTTCAAAGCAATCGGTGAAGAACTTTCGGAGATTACAGCGTGTGTTGCTCTTACGACCAACAAATGGCGCTGTTTAAAAAAAAAAATAATCATGTCACAGGTGAGGCATTTATATAGTAGGTATATAAAAACACTCGCCTATTCGAATGCAACGTTGTGTCAACATTTCTAAAGCAATCGGTAAAGAGGTTTCGAAGACTTCCCACACATGAATCTATATAGTATGTATATAAAAACTTGCTCAGATGCGAATGTTTAAGGCCCAGTTCAACAAAGAAATAGCATATAAGAATAGTTATAATAAATCGCAACAAGTGCAATAGGCCTAGTAGGCGGGGAATAGAGAGTAAGGTCTAACTTCACCAACAGTCACTGACAGGTAGACACTCATGTGTAGGTAACTCACTCTCGCATTTTTTTTCAGCCTGGGTGAATCCCTATATTTTGTCCAATGTCTCTTCCTTCTCTCCATGTTACTCCCTCTCTCTCTCTCTCTCTCTCTCTCTCTCTCTCTCTCTCTCTCTCTCTCTCTCTCTCTCTCTCTCTCTCTCTCTCTCTCTCTCTCTCTCTCTCTCTCTCTCTCTCTCTCTCTCTCTCTCTCTCTCTCTCTCTCTCTCTCTCTCTCTCTCTCTCTCTCTCTCTCTCTCTCTCTCTCTCTCTTTCTTTCCCTTCTCTTACCCTCTAGGGCCCCTAACCTTCCCTCCGTCTCTCTCCCACCTCTCGTGGATCCACCCCCGCGTCACCCGTCCCAGCCACCCACACCTGACAAAAATGTTGCTACAAATAGCGCTCGTGTGTATTATCCGGTGTTGCTCGCTGCTGTGCCTCCCTTTGTTCGTCAGGCGGTCACGTGATGAACACCTCGTGCCGCTGGTGGCGTCAATATATCCATTCTCATCAGTGTGTGTGTGTGTGTGTGTGTGTGTGTGTGTGTGTGTGTGTGTGTGTGTGTGTGTGTGTGTGTGTGTGTGTGTGTGTGTGTGTGTGTGTGTAGTTATTCATGGTTGCATGGTCCGCCCGTGTGCATCTGCATGGGTAGTCATCGACCTGTAATCACTAGGATATACCTGCCAGCTTGCGCCTCATCTCCTGGGCCCCGCCATTCCAGCCCTTGGTCAATCAATACTTGTATACATTTATACTTCCGTAATTTCCCTTCCCGTAGGATATTTATTCAAACCTGTTTCATGTGTTTTCGATTCTAAAACCAGTTCTAAATTTCCATTCATAGGCGCCAGTGATAATGTTATCTATTATGAGTATAATCTCATTTTTTTACGGTTTAGGTAATAACACTGCTAAAACGTCGTTTTGACGTTGCTGAAACGTTTCTAAGACGTTGCTAAAATAACTTAATGTGTAAGTGTGGTAGGATTCATCATCATAAATCCTCTCTTAGTATGATGTTATTTGTTACTTCTGTATTTGCCTTCTTATCAACAGCGTTATCAAGTAAGATTTACTCGGCATGTTATTGTGCTTAAGTCATCTTAGTTCCAGAAGTTGTAAAGTCACATTCTTATTGATCTTTCCAGTTCCATGTTCGGCCTTCTTCATGTAGCTTTGATTCATCCAGATTTTCCAGTCTTTTTTCATTATCCATGATTTGCCTGAAATGCTGTGTATTAGTGGCTTTAAGCATAGCATAGTACCTCTCTACAGAAATCCAACATTCTGTTTGTAACTCATTTTGTATGTATGTATTTTTATCTGAAAAGACTATTTATTTAATTATTTATTTATTTATTTATTTATTTATTTATTTATTTATTTATTTATTTATTTATAAACTTTCACACTGTAATGTCAGTGGACAATGTGCCTTGAATTGAAAGGGACGAGAAATGAGTTACATATCACTACGACACCTGAGTGTGGGCAGATATTTGAGTGTGGATGGGTATCTGAGTGTAATTACCTAAGTGTAATTACCTAAGTGTAGTTACAGGATGAGAGCTAAGCTCGTGGTGTCCCGTCTTCCCAGCACTCTTTGTCATATAACGCTTTGAAACTACTGACGGTCTTGGCCTCCACCACCTTCTCACTTAACTTGTTCCAACCGTCTACCACTCTATTTGCGAAGGTGAAATGAAGTGTGGGTGGGTATCTGAGTGTGGGCAGATATTTGAGTGTGGGTGGGTATCTGAGTGTGGGTGGGTATCTGAGTGTGGGTGGGTATGTGAGAATGGGCAGATATTTGAGTGTGGATGGGTATCTGAGTTTTTTTTTTAGTTTAGTTCATTTATTATGCACCCCATACCCATCTTGTGGGCGGTAGTGGAAAGGGTTACAGAGGCACATAATGGGCTCAGGGACTGAACTCCAGAATTTATTTAACTAAGCAAGTTACAATCTTGATAAGCTGGTTACAAAATTCAGTATAAGTCGTTTCATCATAATTAGGTTCGAGATCGACCACAAGTACAGTTTCAAAATTAAGCAACTGACATATGTGGAGAGCTAGTGGCACAATTGATATGTTTGTCCTGCACACCGCCCCCCCATCCAGTGGGCAGCGGTGGATAGGTTCAGTCACTTAGTTACTACCTACAGTTTGCAAACTGGGAATATTTGGCTGAAATTTTTGGTAGCAGATAATTTTGAATGAAATATTTACACATGGTTGGAACAATGGTTATAGAATTGTCTCTGAATTCACGTATCTTTTCGCACTCCATCACATAGTGACGGAGGGTGTGCGAATAATTTTGATGACACAGTTTACATTTGGTCAGGTCTACATCAGCAGATAATGAGAATTCCCAGAGATACTTGTAACCGAGTCTAAGCCGAGCAGTAGTAACATCTAGAAGTCTGCTGATTTTATTGGATGAACCATAGATGTGTGGCTCCTCTTGCATGATATTATGACGATAGATGGAATTACTGGTGTCGATTTCACCTTGCCTCACATCTACAAGATTTTGTTGAAGTTCTCGGTGTACTGCTGCTCTCAGACTGCTCATTGACAACCCAAGGTTACACTCAACGTCTCCTTTAAAGGCAGATTCTTTGTCTAACTTATCAGCGCTATCGTGCATTCGGAGGCCAACATGAGATGGAGACCACATGAAATGGACTCTGTTACCATCATTAATAATTTTGTTGTATTTGTGTCTAGCTTCGGACACGAGCATGTTACAGTTATGTCTTAAAGAGTTGAGAGCTATTAAGAATGATAGAGTCACTTACAATTAATGTATCAAGTTTGGAGACTTGTACACATTTCTGTGCAAGAAGCAAGGCAAATAGTTCGGTCTGAAGATTAGAGGCCCAGTTGTTTATACGGACTCTCCACTCAAAATATAAGCTATCACCCATTGTCAGGACAACTGCACTTCCAGCTGCACCCGTGGGGCGGTGTAGGGAACCATCAGTGTATATAATTTGAGAGAGAGAATGCTCTGTGGAGAGAGCATTAATATGGCTTAAGGAGTTGAGCTTTGCCTCCAAACGAAGCTTGGGCTGATCTGTAATTTGTTTCTTGGGTGGAAAGGGAGGGATTAATATTAAAAAGGGTGTAATCTCCCACGGTGCAGGAAAGTGCCGTTGTTGTTTCTCTTGATACAAACTATAACCCTGATACATCTTGAGATAATTTCCAGTTTTACTTATCCATTTGAAACAATGCTGACCTTCAATAAAGAAATTCTGGAGGGCTTCTGTGCAAGGGTTAGGATGAGTTAATCTTAGCCTTTTTAAACCAATTTGACAGTTAATTTCAGTAACACGATCAACAACGCTCGGAATATTAAGTTCCTTTCTCAAGTTAAGTATCTTCGTGGTACGAGGGCACCCAAGGATTATCCTCAAGGATTCGTTCTGCAATTTTTCAAGCCCTCCAAGCTTTCTTTCAGGCATCAAGACAAGCAGAGGTGCAGCATAATCCACTAAAGAACTGATGTATGCAAGGTACATCTTTTTGACAATTCTGACATTGGCACCATAGATCTGAGTGTGGGCAGATATTTGAGTGTGGATGGGTATCTGAGTGTGGATGGGTATCTGAGTGTGGGCGAGTATCTGAGTGTGGATGAGTATCTGAGTGTGGGCGAGTATCTGAGTGTGGATGGGTATCTGAGTGTGGGCGGGTATCTGAGTGTGGGCGGGTATCTGAATGTGGGCGGGTATCTGAGTGTGGGCGGGTATCTGAGTGTGGGCGGGTATCTGAGTGTGGGCGGGTATCTGAGTGTGGATGGGTATCTGAGTGTGGGCGAGTATCTGAGTGTGGATGGGTATCTGAGTGTGGGCGGGTATCTGAGTGTGGGCGGGTATCTGAGTGTGGGCGAGTATCTGAGTGTGGGTAGATATTTGAGTGTCGGCGGGTATCTGAGTGTGGATGGGTATCTGAGTGTGGGCGGGTATCTGAATGTGGGCGGGTATCTGAGTGTGGGCGGGTATCTGAATGTGGGCGGGTATCTGAGTGTGGGCGGGTATCTGAGTGTGGGCGGGTATCTGAGTGTGGGCGGGTATCTGAGTGTGGGCGGGTATCTGAGTGTGGGCGGGTATCTGAGTGTGGGCGGGTATCTGAGTGTCGGCGGGTATCTGAGTGTGGGCGGGTATCTCATAAATCTTGGATAGTTGTACCAAATGGTGCTTTCAAAACTCTGTAAATAAGTCTGATAGAACTTCTGAGTAAAATCCATTTTAAGCTCATCGTTCAGTAGATATTGTGTGTATCTTGGGACTCCAGGGACGAGAGTTCAATCCCAATATAATGCCTCTGTATATTCTCGCTATTCTGGAGTATTCTCTGCCTTGCTTTTTATTCCTGCTCCTCCTAATTTTACTTCTCTGTAATTCCTCTCCGATTTCCTTTGTTGCACTAATCGTTAATTTCTCTTTCCCACTTTCTGATTGTGTGTGCAGTTAATGTTCATCTGAACTTGTTGCCACACACCAGTGGCTTTGTATCGTACAGAGTCGGCGTTCGATCCCCGATGGTCTATGGGTTGAACACCATTCCTACACCTGTCGTCACATCCATAGACCTTGTCTACATATCCCTTCCAAGTGTCTCATAGTCATGTATTGCTTCACGTTTTCTCCAGACAGTGATCCTCGGCTGATGATGAGTCACAATAAATGGCTGAAATAGGTTGACCAGACCACACACTTGAAAATGAAGGGACGACGACGTTTCGGTCCGTCCTGGACCATTCTCAAGTCGATTGTATCAAGTCTCAAGTCACAATCGACTTGAGAATGGTCCAGGACGGACCGAAACGTCGTCGTCCCTTCATTTTCTAGTGTGTGGTCTGGTCAACATTGATCCTCGGCTTTAATTGCTAAGTCTCTCTGTCCCACAGCCCTTTCGTTCATGTCTACACCTCTCTCTATGATTTCCCGTCTCTTCCCCCGTCTCTCATCTCTATACATCCCTCTCTTTCTTTCCCTCCCATTGTATTCTTTCTTTCTCAAGTTTTTGTTTACTTCGTTACTTCCATGCCCATATCTTCTTCCCTTACACTCCCCTCTCATTCTCCCTTTCTACACCCATCTCATTCTTCCTTTCTACACCTATCATTTGGTGATATGATAATATCACCAAAATCACCCTACCCATTTAGTCCCCATAACCATCATTCCCCTTTCTTGCCCATCCTTTTTTTTTTTTCCCCATAATACATTTCCCCATAATCACCACTCTCCCTTCCCCTCCCCATAATCACCACTCTCCCTTCCCCTCCCCATAATCACCACTCTCCCTTCCCCTCCCCATAATCACCACTCTCCCTTCCCTCCCCTCCCCATAATAATCACCACTCTCCCTTCCCCTCCCCATAATCACTCTCCCTTCCCCCATCCCTCCCCTAATCCTCCACTCACCACTCTCCCCCCTCCCCATAATCACCACTCTCCCTCTCCTTACAGTTATCTCCCCCATCATCAGCATCACGTCCCCATTGCAACAGCCTCCCCCCCGCCCCCCCTCACAAAGGAAGGTGTTCGGGAAGGTGTAATGTGAAGCACCATTTGGGAAATTACAAAATCCGTCTCTCAAGCCACGTTTGATCAATATGCAACACTCCACATTGCGTTTGTTGTAAGGTCAGTAGGGGTCAAAGGTCGTGGGAGAGAGAGGGGGTGTGGTTTTTGGTTTTGTTTGGTATCGTTGGGAAGGAGGTTGGAGGTTATCTTTAGGGTTATCTTTAGATGATTTCGGGGCTTTAGTGTCCCCGCGGCCCGGTCCTCGACCAGGCCTCCACCCCCAGGAAGCAGCCCGTGACAGCTGACTAACACCCAGGTACCTATTTTACTGCTAGGTAACAGGGGTATAGGGTGAAAGAAACTCTGCCCATTGTTTCTCGCCGGCGCCCGGGATCGAACCCAGGACCACAGGATCACAAGCCCCGCGTGCTGTCCGCACGGCCGACCGGTTAGGTGAAGCTTGTATATGGTGTGTGTGTGTGTGTGTGTGTGTGTGTGTGTGTGTGTGTGTGTGTGTGTGTGTGTGTGTGTGTGTGTGTGTGTGTGTGTGTACTTATCTATGAGTGACTGCACGTGCTTCCAATACATGATTCCTTCATCTTTGCAATCCATTATCGTTTGGTTCATCAATTCCAATTCTCCTCTTGCCCCTGCTGTGAAGTTCTCTTGCAATATCGTCTTCTCAGTTAAAAAGATTACCACTGAGGCTTAATAATGCGGAAGTAGTTGTTAAAGACATTAGACATAGCCTTACCGAAGCCAACATACGAGTCATAAACGCTCATCAACCTCCTGAGTACAACTGAAATGAGTAACATTTAGTAGGCCAGCCCAAGGTGCATCCCGTAAATAATAATAATAATAATAATAATAATAATAATAATTCCGTTTTATCACACATTTCGTAATCATTCTCTTTGTGCTTGTAACCTCAGCCTCCACACCGTCATGGGAGACGTTTTTACCCTTTTCCTTATGTTTATCGCTTCCTTTTCTTGCTTTCTCTCTATCTCTCCTGCATTTATTCTCATGCTTCTATTAAGTTACACATTTGTACAGGTGCAAACGACACAAACATTTCTACGCATGTGATATACATCTCATCCCCCATCCCCCCTAAACAACCTATCCTAGTTATCTGTCAACCCCATCTCCTGCCTCCCTATCCTAGTTACCTATCTTTCCTTACCAGTGGATAGAAATAACACCGAACGACCAGGAAAGCATTCGGGAACATATCAATGAATGTCTACAAAACGGTATTTACAATAGTCGTCCGATATGGGCTTGAGTACACAGCACCGGCATGGAATCCTTGCCTCAAAGATGATAAAAGTCTAAGACCGTACCAGGATTTCCTTTCAAGATTAGGCTCAGACTTGAGAGGGATGAAGAGCAATGAGGTCATCCTCATCTCAAGGTTATTATCGTCAAGTATGACCCGGTTCCTATTCGTTACTCATGAACTGTATACTGTATACAGACAAGTATATTTATACAGTATATGTATATACTGTATACATACACAGACCAAGCTGCCCTGCTCGAGGTTGAAGGGTCAGTTAAAGAAAGGAAATTCAGAGCGGAAATGGTTAAAAAAAAAAAAAGCCTCGATGGTTGGCCTTTAGGAAGCCATGAGGAACTTTTTTATTGTATAAGAGAAAAAGTGAATCCCTGTATCAATGTATCCATGGATCCATGTATTCTCAGCTCTAAAGAACACAGGAGTGAGGTATATGACTATAATGAGGATATAACTAGGTGAGTACACCCGGGGCGTCGCGGGTGAGTGGACAGCGCTCGGGGGATCGTAGTCCTAATGGTCCGGATTCAATTCCCATACTTCCTCTTGCTGCTTCTATGTTGGTTCGGGGTCTTGAAGTGGGTAGAATATAGTTCTGCATTAATTGGCTGTTGATTGCTGGTGTTGACTTTGATGTGTAGTGCCTCGCTGATGTCGAGTCTCCTGCTATCGCTGTATTTATCGACAATTTCTGTGTTGCTTGTTAACAAGCAGTACAGAATTTATATTACAGTAGTGATATTTACAGTATTAGTTTAATTTAACTTTTATTACAATTTACATTTTATATTTAAAGTATTAGTGTACAGTGGTGACTCGTGCAGCTGGCTGCACGAGTCACCACTGTACAACTGTATCATAAGCCAGCTGCACGAGCCACTACAGTACCATAAGCCAGCTGCACGAGCCACAACAGTACCATGAGCCAGCTACACGAGCCACAACAGTACCATGAGCCAGCTGCACGAGCCACAACAGTACCATGAGCCAGCTACACGAGCCACAACAGTACCATGAGCCAGCTGCACGAGCCACAACAGTACCATAAGCCAGCTACACGAGCCACAACAGTACCATGAGCCAGCTACACGAGCCACAACAGTACCATGAGCCAGCTGCACGAGCCACAACAGTACCATGAGCCAGCTGCACGAGCCACTACAGTACCATAAGCCAGCTGCACGAGCCACAACAGTACCATAAGCCAGCTACACGAGCCACAACAGTACCATGAGCCAGCTGCACGAGCCACAACAGTACCATGAGCCAGCTGCACGAGCCACAACAGTACCATGAGCCAGCTGCACGAGCCACTACAGTACCATAAGCCAGCTGCACGAGCCACTACTGTACCATAAGCCAGCTGCACGAGCCACTAATGTACCATAAGCCAGCTGCACGAACCACTACAGTACCATAAACCAGCTGCACGAGCCACTAATGTACCATAAACCAGCTGCACGAACCACTACAGTACCATAAGCCAGCTGCACGAGCCACTACTATACCATAAACCAGCTGCACGAGCCACTACAGAACCATAAGCCAGCTGCACGAGCCACTACAGTACCATAAACCAGCTGCACGAGCCACTAATGTACCATAAACCAGCTGCACGAGCCACTACAGTACCATAAACCAACTGCACGAGCCACTACTGTACCATAAACCAGCTGCACGAGCCACTACAGTACCATAAACCAGCTGCACGAGCCACTAATGTACCATAAGCCAGCTACACGAGCCACTACAGTACCATAAGCCAGCTACACGAGCCACTACAGTACCATAAGCCAGCTGCACGAGCCACTACTGTACCATAAGCCAGCTGCACGAGCCACTAATGTACCATAAACCAGCTGCACGAGCCACAACAGTACCATAAGCCAGCTGCACGAGCCACTAATGTACCATAAACCAGCTGCACGAGCCACTACAGTACCATAAGCCAGCTGCACGAGCCACTACTGTACCATAAGCCAGCTGCACGAGCCACTACAGTACCATAAACCAGCTGCACGAGCCACTACTGTACCATAAGCCAGCTGCACGAGCCACTACAGTACCATAAACCAGCTGCACGAGCCACTACTGTACCATAAACCAGCTGCACGAGCCACTACAGTACCATAAACCAGCTGCACGAGCCACTAATGTACCATAAGCCAGCTACACGAGCCACTACAGTACCATAAGCCAGCTACACGAGCCACTACAGTACCATAAGCCAGCTGCACGAGCCACTACTGTACCATAAGCCAGCTGCACGAGCCACTAATGTACCATAAACCAGCTGCACGAGCCACAACAGTACCATAAGCCAGCTGCACGAGCCACTAATGTACCATAAACCAGCTGCACGAGCCACTACAGTACCATAAGCCAGCTGCACGAGCCACTACTGTACCATAA